ATAAAGTAATGGCATAATGGTAAATTTAGTGATAAAATAAAGGTATAATGACATAATGGTAAATTCAGCGATAAAGTAAGGGTATAATGGTAAATTTGACGGAAAAAGTAACACCGTCAGTAGTAAAGTAACGGTGTTAACATCAAAGGGCGAGTATGCATGCAGATATATAATAGAAGGGGGTTTGACGCAATTTCTAAATTACGAGGAAAAAACGCGCAGATTTAGTATATTACAGGGGGGTTTGGTGCAATTTACCCAAAAATGATAAGTAGTGTGCATTTATCACAACCCATGTCATGAACCCAACCCAATTCTGATAAATGGGCCCAAATTCGCGTCAGCCCACTATCTGCAGCCGTTTAAAACTCCGGCGACCTCCAAATTTCCCTTTCCGCAACTCTCTCAAGCATCCAGAAATGGCGCCTAAGAAGAAACAGCAGAAACAGAAGGCGTCATCGTCGTCGTCTTCATCAAAGGGGAAACCCGCGTCATCCACCGGACCCAAACTCCAACTATCGGCGGAGAATGAAAATCGCCTCCGCCGTCTCCTTCTCAACTCCGGACGATCGGCGCCTTCGTCGGCGCCATCCGATGGATCGCTGTCCAAAGAGCAGAAAGCCAAGAAGCTCCGATCGGTCTACGAGAATCTTTCCTGCGATGGCTTTAAGGATGACCAAATTGAACTTGTTCTCTCCACTCTCAAGGTTGGCCCACGAATTTTAGTCTTTGTTGGTAGTGAGTTTAGCTGAACCAAAAACACACAACGCAATTTGGTTTTAGTGAAGTTAGAGTAGTGGTTTTGTTAATCAAGATGTGGAAGTTTTACATCAGAAAGTAGAAGACAGGTAGAGAATCCACTAGAGATGGCATGGATAGGAAATGCTTGCTAGAAGAATTCACTTCCTGCTTCCTATCTGGAATTCTGATGCCTTTTTTTGTACCGTTTTGTTTATGTTTACCAGGAGAGTTCAACATACGAGGCAGCTTTGGACTGGCTGTGCTTAAATATTCCAGGGAATGAACTCCCATTGAAGTTCTCAAGTGGCAGTTCTTTGCACGCTAATGGAGGTACTGGCATGTTGAGTTCAGCTAATCAGATTTTGAAATGGATGCTAATTTCATCACTGGGTTTATCAATCATTTTGTTTGACAGAGAATAAGTGACACTTAATACACTTTCCGGGCAGGTTCTGTTGGTGTCATATCAACTGCTCGGGAAGATTGGGTTTCATCGAGAGATTCCTCGGCAAGTATAGTGGAGGAAAAGGCCGAAGCTCCTCTTAGAATTAAAGAGCGGAAAAATGATGACAAATTAGGTTCTGTTCAGCAATCTCAAGCAGACTGGATCCGTCAATATATGGAACAACAGGAAGAGGTACTTTCACATGGTTGTCTTTAGCCAGTCGCGAATAGAGTAATGCTACTAGAATGATTTTGGTTCTTATCTGGGAGGTTAAATCCGCTAACTGTCTAGAAGATCTAATATAGGCAGAGATGTTGGGTTGCCGAAGTTTTGTCCCTAATTTTGGATGTAAACTTGCGATTAAGATGAGATATACCACAATGGCCTGTTCCTTAGACTGCTGATATTCTATGTAATACATAATATAAATTATGCTCTTTCCAGTCCATTTCCCCTGTAAACTCGACATGCTCTATTTGTGATGATTCATATATTTTAGGAGATAGGACCCTTCATATTATGGAAGTGGCTACCACTTTCTGGAACGGCTAGCAGCCATATTATGTGAAGAATAATGTTTTCTTAGCATGATTTTTTTACACTCATTACGGCTTCCTTACCTACTTTGTTGTAAATATATAGCTATGTGTGTGTATGTGTGTGTGTGTGTGCATGTGTGCCAGTTCTGATTTGTCATGTTCTATGAAGTGCAGTTATACAGCATAAGGTGGCAAGTCTTTGTTGAGTCATAATGACCATAAGACAGTTGATCATAAACAAATTATTTTGCAGGATGAATCTGATTCCTGGGAAAATTCTTCACTGGATAATGATACATCGAAAAAGGTACTTTCAGCACATTAGGAGAACACATCATAGGCTTGTATCACATAAATACATAATGATAACAATGCAAAAATTAATACTACAAAGATGCCAACTTTAATTTATTTATCTTTTTCTGTTTTGTTTCCCTCAATCATTGGAGGATGTCTTGATTCACTTTTCAATTTTGCATTTCCCATCTTACCTTTTGTATCATCCAACAAAGATTAGGACATGATGCCTGGCCATAACTATCTACAGGTTTCTTCTGGTAATTTATAGTTTTTTCTTTTTCCCCAGTTCTAAGTTAATTTTAATCTTGAGCCACTATAAACCTTCTATTAGGAACTTTATCTTTCTTTCTTTTTTTTTTCTTTTTTGTGTGTGTATGTTTGTGTATTTTTCCAGTAATAACTCAATTCGAGCATGTGCTCTTCTAGACACATCTCCTGGGCTAAATGCGTACCATGTACTGTCTATTTCTTCGAGACTGAAATGAAGAAACTTTGATGTTTTACTCCTAAATCTAACCTTTATTTTTAAATGCTATACTTTTGTGGTAGGTCCTCGAACCAAGGAGCAATTATGAGTTAATTGTTGAGGACTATCATGCTGCAAGGTTGCAAGCTGCAAATGCCAAAGATAGAGGTGACAAGAAAAGCCAGAATGAAGCAGGTCTAATCATTCAGAAACTTAAGCAGGAGATATCAGCCTTAGGTGGTCAACATTGTTATATCTGCCTTGAATTTGTAATTTCTGAAAATTTAAAGTGCATCATGTTGATTGAATTATAATTATTTCTCAGGGCTATCTGTTGATATTTTGGAAACTGGATATATAAGCTCTTCTCGTCACACAAGTAATGATGTAGCTTCACATGATGCCTCTTCAGAGAACCCTGACAGTGATACTGTTAATGCATGTATTATAGAACATGATAAAGCCTGTAATGAGTTTAGTATTGAAGTTGAAGAAAAGGGCGTTAGTAGCTCTGCAGCACATGATCACTCATCCGACTCTGTTGTTTTAAATATCCAAACTCAAAATGGAGATGTTTTGGAAAGGGAATCTGGTGATGTAGAACTTGGTGATCTTTTTGGGGAAGATGGTGACACGTCCAATCAAGTACCTCCTGAAATATTGGAACTACAGAAGAAGGAAAAAATGAAGGAACTTTGCAGTGGGAAGAACATAGAGAAAATGGAAGGAATTTGGAAAGAGGTAAGAGCTACCATCCATGAAACTCATCCGAGGCAACTTGATTGAATTTGGAGTTTTTTTTTTTCAAAGATGCCAATCCGATGTGTCTAGTATTGTGTGTGTACCCTGTGTCTTATTTAGCTCCCTTATTGAAGGACATGGACTATTTTCCTCATTTTTTCATGATATATGTACGCCATCTCTTTCATTTTTTTTGTCCTCTCATTTCTGCTAATTTTTTTCCTGGTTGATGAACTGAATTTCACCGCATTAAGTGTTATTGAATTTATTTAACATTGTCTCTCTTGTAATTGTTGTTGGTTGATATAACTATAGGGAGATCCAAAAAAGATTCCTAAGGCTCTTCTTCACCAATTTTGCCAAAGATCAGGATGGGAAGCACCAAAATATGATAAAATTCCTGGAAAAGGGAAAAGTTCTGGTTACTCGATCAGCATACTACGCAAGGCTAGTGGAAGAGGTAAAAATAGAAAAGCTGGCGGATTGACCACCATTGAGCTTCCTAGTCCAGATGAAAGTTATAATTCACCTGAGGTATGCCACCTGCCCTCTGCCGAGGCAAAGTTAATATAAAGCCATTTTAAAGATTGAAAACACTGAAAGATATGTGCGCTTTAATGCATGCTATGTTAGTGCCTAGAAGACTTTATCTTGATTCTAAAATAATTGCACTTGAAAACTGATAAGAGTCTTCATTATGCATTGCACAAAAGGAGTGAGCGGAAACTTTACTTGTACTTAAATTGCTGCAAGCTTTGCATTTTCTGGGTGTGGGGTTTTTGCTTCAGACATCTATTTTGTGCAGATGTAGGTGAACATGATAGCACCTACTGGGTAGACTTTTCTATTGCATATTTCTTTGTTTATTTTAAATTTACTTTTGACATGAGATGAATACTTATATCTGTAAATTTGTTGTAACAGTTGTATTGGAATATTTTGCTGGATATTATATATACGAGGTAAATAGATGCCTATCTATTAGCTGTTGCTATCAGCTTTGGAATTTCGGACCTTTTACGAAGAAAATAAACACAGAAAAGTCATACGTTTATTTAGTGTGAATTCTGACTTGAGGAATGTAGATTCACTTGGCACACAGTTTCAGTTATTTGCGTAAATTTGCGTTAGTTCGTAATGCGTGGTGAGACACAATCTGAAGTTAGATCTACTGGTGTCATTTACAGCCAATTCAGATGTGATCATGCCCTTCTGTTCCCATAAACTAAGAATTATCGTAACCGGTTTGGTATAAAAAAGGACACTAGGCTTGATCACAATGGTAGCCAGAGGGTGAAATGGAAAAATGAAGTATTCTAGCCCCAGTGATGTAGCAGATACTGTGCTCCTTGAGTAAGATATACGGACAGACATAAGGAAAACTATACCTGTGCTTATTTCTGACCACAAGGTGAGGAATAAAGATCCATTTCCAAAACGGGCCCATGTGACCATGTCCTTGATTTTGCTTTAGATTTGTCCAAAACACCATTGAACCATCTGTTCGTACTGAAAATTTAATTTGGCAGTTGGCACCGTTTGATATCCCACTTGCATTTTGTTAAGTCATAAAATTTTCTCTTTCGAGTGACTGTATCTCACTAATTTCAAAAAGGCTCTACTAATCCTTCACCTCAGGATTCCCAAAATAGAGTTGCAGCATATGCGCTCCACTGTCTCTTTCCGGATATACCTGTTCAGCTAGCACTTGTAGAGCCATATGCTTCTGTGGTACTGAAATGGAAGGAAGGTAGTCATCTCACTTGCAGCTATTATTTGTTTTGAGCTGACACTCGTAAACTTTGTTGTAGTTTAAAAGTATCATTTCTAGAGTTTCTCTCTCTCTCTCTCTCTCTCTCTCTCTCTCTCTCTCTCTCAGCTGTTTCATGCACAAAATACAGGAGATATGTTCACATCTGTAAGAGATAAACATGTCGATAGAAGGGCTGGTTTTGTGGACTCCCTGTTGAATTCTGGCAAAATCGAGCATATTGCTGAGAGCGACATTATGAATAGTCCTCAGCAAGAGAAGATACAAATGCATGTTGCAGAAGAGTATACTGGTAGCATCAACCAGAACACTGAGAGTACGTTTAATTTATTTCTTTCCTTACCATACTTCTTTCTTTTCATGTTCCTGTGTTCTTCAGCATTTCTCAAGGGAAGAGAGGTCATAATCAAATAAATGGAAAGGAATTGTGTGATGCAGCACAAGTCCATTCAGCTTAGTGCATGCTTTCAGATAAAAAATTACATATTCTTGCACTTCCTTTCTTTAACTTCTGTGACATGCTGATCTCAAATTTATATTGCTGGATTTTGTCAAATCATATTTCTTGCACTTATTCAGAGCTATCTTTTAGATTTTGATTATCCTTTCTGGATCCTTCTTTAGAGGCACATTACTTGCTTGCAGGTAAGCGAAGAAATGTGAATGCTGAAAGCATTTATCTAAAGAAAGAACAAGAGCGTAAGAAGGAAATGAAGAAATACAAGGTTGGTCGTCCCTGCATAGCAATTATGTGAGATGATTGGAGATTAACTAGGACATTTGTATGTAAAACACATCTAGAGCCTCTGGTTCTTAGTGGCTAGTCTTCCTTACAAATTGCAGGACCATACATGCGACTCTACACAAAAACTGAGACAGTTGTAGATCAAATTTTATTTTATTCATTGATCAATAATTTCTAAAATTACGGCACTTGGAAGTTCTGAATAATTATATATGTTAGCTTTATTGCAGGGACAAAAAAATAAAATAGCATTACAGGTGCCACTGTTACACTATATCTAAATAAGAAAATATATCTCCAAGTCCTTCAAAATCTGCAAGTTCATAGAAACATAGACAGATCATTTTTAAAATATCAGTATTACTTCGGTCCCCATACATACTTATGTTTGCTTATGATGTGACATCTTTTTTCTTCCGAGTAGGACATGTTGCAGTCCAGATCTGCCCTCCCAGTTGCCGAGTTGAAAGAGGACATTTTACATTTACTTGATGAAAATAATGTTGTGGTAATTTCTGGAGAGACAGGCTGTGGAAAGACTACTCAGGTTTCAGTCATTCTATTTTGCCGCCTTATGCAAATTGTAAAGTTCTTATTTTCGGTTCTAATACTTTGTTACCTTTTGAAATATTATCCGGCTTTTCTGTCATTGTGATGGTTATGTAGGTCCCACAGTATATATTAGATAACATGATCGAAGAAGGATGTGGTGGTCGCTGTAATATTATTTGCACTCAGCCAAGGAGAATTGCGGTTAGATGTATAACTTAAAATATTTTTTGTTCATCTCTGTGTGTGTGTATGTGCATGCGCATGCGCCGCTGCATATGTGTATATGATTGCCGAATGATCTCAAGTAGCAAAATCATCAATTTCAGGAACTTCCTTGGGTTATTAATCATAATTTGTGTTGAGATCAATTTATATCTTATTTACTATTTTGAGTTTGTTTGGCATGCAATGGTTATTCCTGATGCTTTTTAATTGTCTTTTCTACAGGCCATTTCTGTTGCTGAAAGAGTTGCTGATGAGCGTTGTGAATCATCTCCAGGATCAAACAATTCTTTGGTTGGTTATCAAGTCCGTCTAGATAGTGCAAGGTGATACACTGTTGTGGTTCAGTCCTATTTATTTATGTATTCATCAGTTTTTGGAATTGTAATAGTTTTTCACTCCATTGCAAATAGAGCTGGAAGAGATTGTCCTGGCATAGTGCTAATAATAGACTAGATCTAAATGTCTCAATTAAATTCTAGTGTTTCTTCTATTAGTGAAGTTTTTAGAAAAAAATATATCAAACGATGCAATGCACCTTGGGTCGCTACGGAAACAGCCTCCTTGTATAATTACAAGGGTACTGCGTACAACTGACCCCCCAAACCCCAACCAGTTGGGAATATACTGGGTATGTTGATGTTGATGATTTATTTTTTCCTAGTAATTGGGAATTTCATGGTGTTTTTATTCTTATTAGAAGGCGCCTTCTTCTTTTCTAAGATGCGACTCATTGCTTCTTAATGAGATTCATAATATTGACTCAATAAGGCTTTCATGAAATTATATTACCACTGATCACTTCGTGGCAAATCTGTTACATAATGGAGTGGCAATGCTAATAACTTTTACACTCATCTTGCATGTTTAGTTGGTTATGTTGTGTAATTTTAGCAGTGTTATCAAATGGCGGCCATGGCGGCGCCATGGCGGTATGGCGTGGCGGATTTTTAATAATCCGCTATGCAAAATTTGTGAATGATGGCGTTCATGGCGGCGCCATAGACCGCCACGGCGGCCGCCATGGCGGCCGCAATGGCGGAATTTTGGCAAAACGCCATGTACCGCCATCCGCCATTAATAACACTGAATTTTAGCATTGAAATAGCTGAGAAAGATGCAAAATATGCCTACATATACTTTCATGAAGTTCGTGCTCTGTGTCAAGCCATGTTTAAATTATTTCAAACTTGATCGCATGCTACATGAAGAAAGTTTGCGAGTTGGTTCACTAAGGTTACATTTGGATTTGTGATGAGATAATTGTTTTTGTCAAAATATGAGTTGTTTCCCTAAAATGTCATCCAACTGGAATCTAAAGGTATTTTTTCAAAGGATCTTCACGTTATATGGACCTATTACACCTGGCGTATAGTGTTTCTGGTAGATTATGTTTGATTTTGTATGGAGAACTCTCAAATTGTGATGTCATTCAATCAGTGAATGTATATTCTTTGCCTTTCATGGTGATGGTGACTCACATGCCTAATATACTTACGTTGTCCTTATGATACCATGTCTGTATTACTGAAGCTATTATTTTTTAACCAAATTGTTGCGAATGTTGGCTTAGGTTTGCATCTTTTTATGTATGCTTTCTGTTTTAGGAATGAACGAACGAAGCTTCTCTTTTGTACAACTGGCATACTTTTGAGGATGATATCGGTAGGCTTACTATTTTACAGATTATAGACCTTGCATAGTATTATATGTACTCCAGTGAGAGTTTTAGTTGTAGAATAAAGATGGAGGTCAAATTGGCAAATAGAAGATAATTCATTAGTCTTTTTCCTTATTCTGGCATGAATTTGCAGGGAAACAAAGACTTGGCAGATATTAGTCATGTGATAGTTGATGAAGTGCACGAGCGCTCTCTTCTGGTTAGTCCAAAATTTTATTAATCTAGGCTATCTAGCCTGTCCTAGGATTCCTTGCCTTTTCACATTAGCTGGAAAATTTTTACACTTTCTGTAACAATTGCACATTATTCTTACAAATAGGGCATGATATATGCCATGTTCAGTCAAATATACGATATATGCCATAAATCTCCGGAACCGAACCGAACTTCGGAGATCCAAAAAATTGAATCTCTAGAACCGAACTGGTTCTAATAAAACTCCGTTTCGAACCCAACCGAACCAAATTGGTTTTAATAAATTTCGGTTCGGTTCGGTTCGGTTCATAGACTCGGGTATAATGGGGAGGTTCGGTAGGAATCGGAGATTTCAGAAGTTTTGGAGATCATCTTTTTTCTTTTATAAAAACAATCTCCTAATTTGGATCAAAGAGAATCACAAACCTCTCTTAATTTCAAAAGATATTTCGTCAATTAGTAATAAGTATATGTATATGTGGCTAAAATGTTTTTTATTTCATAAAAAAGAGTGATGAATATATTTTGGTTGCAAATATCATTAATTCAAAATATACTTTAATTTGAAAGATTTATGTGCTAATCATTTATATGCCAAAATATCCGTGAGTGATAAGACATACCCATGAACAATAATCAATTTAAAGATAGTTACTTGTTAAATAAAAGGATATTTTGAAAATATATTATGTTCGAATAAATTATTTCCTTTCGATATTGTGAGATATGCATCTAGTACATATAAAGATTGTTCCCGAAAAGTGAAGATATTTAATCTTATTAACTTATAATTTATTAATGAAGTTAACCGTATATCCGTTCTTGGTCCAATATTATGGTAAAAATATCTATCAATATATTTTTATTTTATAATATGTCAAAGATAGTCAAACTGTCAATGAATATTTTTTAGTTCGGGATTAATTCAGTTCGATTTTCGGAACAGTTTGGTAATCTCTAAGCCTGTGCTCAGCCCTACTGCGAATAGACCACATAATTGTCACATATTCATCGCACAATGCTTCGCACCAAGAAGCCTTATGCACTTCTTTTCCGTCACATCAATATCAATGCACAAAGAGCTACTTCTTGTTGCTTATTCATTGTTTCGTTTGAACTGGCAAATGGATGTGGGATGGAGCTCTCATGTTGGAAACCAAGCCCGATTCAAACTGTCGTGGTACCTGTTACAAGTTTAGGGTTTTTTTGACAATTTGATGCATTCACTTATGAAGATGCCCATATATATAGCCTTAGGGCCTCGATATATGGGGTGAGCCTATTATATACTTAACACTCCCTTCAAACTCGAGGTGGAGGTGGAAGTCAAGCTTGAGTTTGAGCAAGTGAAGGCGATGATGTTCACTAGTTTGTGCTTTGGTGAAAAAAATTGCAAGTGACAGTTCTTATGGCACATACTGAATAATAATATGACAATGAGACCTAGTAAAGGAAGCACCGTCACCAATATATTTTGTAATCTCATGTTTTACATGATCATTTATCACAAAGAAGAGGTGTATGAGTATCACATGAAATACCAAAATCAGCTTTATTGAAGCCATATAATTTCTCTGAAGTGGTACTGGAAAGTGTTCGAAGTTCTTCCTTTGTGCTAGAGCACGATATAGCTGCCTGCTTTTACTGCCATGTGTGAGGAGAAGAACCAAGAAATAACAGAAAGAACGGGATCTGTTGGATTACTTTACCCAAGTAGAGTCCGAGTTAGCATGAAGTTGGAGCAGACTATCACGAGCATAAAACAAACATGAGATGATGTGCTCCTAAATGTTGTATCACATGAAGCAAATGTGCAACATGAATTGAAGTAGGTGCACTCACAAATATATGAACAACATGAGCAATGTTAGGCCTGGTAACATAAAGATAAACTAGACTAGCCACAATTAGACTGCCCACAATATGCTGATATCGAGAGGGATCCTCAAGACCATTAGTAGGACGAAGCTGCAAGTGAAGTCCGACTAACAATGATACCAGAACGAACAAAAAGATCTTGTATGTACTTGGCTGAGAAAAGTAATACCCTGAGTCGGAGTGCATCACCTCAATGCCTAAGAAGTAGCTAAGAGGACCCAATTCGGACATTTGAAATTGCTGACCAAGTTGTTTCTTGACATGAGAAATATGGTCTGTATCATCTCCCGTAATCAATATATCATCGATATATAAAAGAAGTAGAATACCTCCACGTTGAGAGAGATGAATAAACATGGCCGGATCTGATCACTAGGAGAAAAACCGGCAGCATATATGACAGAGACAAACGCTCAAACTAGGCACGTGAAGCATGTTTGAAACCATATTAGGCGCAACGAAGACGACAAACATGTGTAGAGGGGGCATCAACACCTGGCGGTGGATGCATATGAACTTTCTCGTGCAGATCACCATGAAGAAAAACATTCTACACATCTATTGGTCCAAAACGAGTAGCACCTACCGCAATCAGAGTACGAATAATGGTCATGAATAGGAGCAAAGGTTTCATCAAAATTCTTTCCTTCTCTGAGTCTGCTCAAAACTTCTACAAACAAGACGAGCTTTATGCTTTTCAATGGAACCATCCGACTTCGTATTAATCTTAAAGACTCACTTACATGTGTAGGTACGGCATGCGACGGTAACGAAACAAAATCCCAAGTGCCGGTACAATCAAGTGCAGCAAGCTCCTCAGACATATCATGTTGCCACTTCGGAATACGCGAAGCTTCCTGATAATGGGATGGCTCATCAACAATAGAACTCACATGTGAAAAACCTAACCTGTCAGGAAGCTCAATAGTAGCACGGTCAAGTAAATTATATCTTTCTGACCAACTTGAGACTCTTCAGAAATAGACACATTAGAATCAACAGGATCATCAAAGACGGGAGAGTCAGGAGACTGGCCGAGACAGGAGAACAAGGCAGAAGTGTTGTGTGACCTATTGGACGACGAGCATAGACCTGTGGTTTATATGAGGGAGGCTCGTCAGAAATGGGTGGTGGAGGCTCATAATGAGAAGTTGGGACTGAGGGAGATGGTGAAGAGGCAGGGACATCATCATCATCAAGAAAGGAAATAGAAGGAAAACATAAGAATGACGACGTAGACTCTGAAGAAGATGTGGGTGTGTGGAAGGGTTATAAAAGAAAGAACAATCCACGAAAAAGGTACATCACAAGATATACGCATGTGACGAGCTGAAGAATCACAACAACGATAACCTGAGTGCTCAGGACTATACTTCAAAAAGACGCACTCAACCGACTAAGCAGTCAGTTTATTGCGCTTACGAGGAGCAAGAAACTCATAGGATGTACATCAGCCGCGAGCATCGACAGGAGAGGCAATGGGCAAGGAGGACACACGGCGAGACGACCAAAAATAAAAATTGACAAGTTCCGGGATTGCATAGAGTATACAAACCATAACCCCAACAATTGATGAATCTGGAAAAGGGGCAAATCGGACACCAAAACCCCTCGAATCGCAAAACTGAAAGTACCGGCAGCAAGCTCTCAGGAAATCAAACACACGAACGTTCGAAAAATTCCATCGAGTCACGCGCTCACGTTTTGACGCGTGTGATGGCTGACAGACTCACGCGTGGATTCCAACGGCGAAACTTTGACGGATAGTCAATCGTGAAGCGGCGAGTGGACCAGTGTGGGAGGTGAGAGTGAAAAAAGCAAAAAAATTGTGTGGCTGTGATACCTTGTTACAAATTTGGACAATTTTATGCATTCACTTATGAAGATGCCCATATATATAGACTTAGGGCCTTTAGTATATATGAGCTGGGCCTATAATATACTTAACAGTGCCAAGAGTCAAGGATGGAGGTTTAACTAATATCATAGGGGCGTTCCCCCAAAGCAATTAGATGTCAGGTCAAGCCCTTGAGAGAGGGACCAAGAAGATGAAAATCAGATGCTATAGAGGAAGATTCGCGTCTGAGTATTGAATAACCTCTTCTTTCGATACACAAGTATGTATTAAGCTCTTCAAACCTTGGGTAAAAAAGTTAACTTGTCAGCTGGCGAAAAACTTCAATGTATTTTCTTATGGTGAAAATTGCTATTTTCACATTATTTAATTATGGAACTAAGAAATTATACTTCTTTAAAAAAATAATAAATAAAATTGTAATTTTACTATGTACCACTTCAAAAATTCTGGTTACGGACACAAACTTTGTATGTATTGTTTATATTTTAAACAAAAAATGATGAAGGGCAAAGTCCTAATTCTATTATCTACACTTACTATTGGGAAATTTTAATCGAGTATTTTACGTTGGTCTGTTATTATGTCGGGCATAGAATTTTCGGGAAGGGTTTCCTTTGCTTATTTTTTGCTCACTTTGCTTCAACTTAATGTGTATATTTTTTCTCATGATGAAATGAAAATACCGACATCAGCAGAGAACCACATTTTTTAGATAAAGCATGAGGTTAGACACACATTGGAATGTCTTCTAGAAATTGCTTGCTCGTATTTGTAATATTTCATGGTAACCTTAAGAATTCTGAAAAGTGTTACCATGAAAATAAACTGATTTTGCAGATTCATGTTGTAACAGGGTGATTTTTTGCTCATTGTTCTGAAGAACATAATTGAGAAGCAAAGTACAAGCGGCAAATCGAAGTTGAAAGTTATTCTTATGTATGAAATCTCTCCTGTTTTATTGTGAATATTTTTCTTGCTCTGTGTTTTTGGGATACAAATAATCCTTTTGAAAGGGTTGTCCGCAATCGTGGTTTGATGCAGGTCTGCAACTGTGGATTCCCACATGTTTTCACAGTACTTTGGAAATTGTCCTGTTGTTACTGCTAAAGGTCGAACACACCCTGTATCAACTCAGTTTCTTGAGGATATACATGAAAAGCTGCACTACCGCCTTGCTTCAGATTCTCCAGCATCTATAAACTATGGAATGTCTGGTGTGGAGAAGGTACAAATTTAGTTGCAATGTGGTCAAGCTGAAGAACATAAACATGTAAATTAAGAGAGATCTTTCTTGACTGCTAAAGAAGCGCTGCAAAGAAATGTTTCTAAATGCATGTACTTACAACCACAATGTCTTGTTAGGGAAGGCACAGTGTGGAGTTTGTTCCTAATGAAAACCCATCAGAAGTTTTCTTATTTTAAAACTGAGAAAAGAAAAAGAGAAAATGTTAACTACGTCAAAATATATGAAAATCAAATAAATTTTTCGAAATGATTTCTTATGTTCTAGCTTTTCTCTTGATAAATGGGCCTGGGTAGAACTCATCCTCAAAAGCTAGCTCAAAGGAAGAGGGTGCCGAAACACACTTATCCACAGTAACAGTTTAATAACTAATTGATGTGGTACAAACATAACTTCTAACAAAGCTGATTTGTGGAATCCACAGTGAGGCACTTGGAAATATGTTAGAGATGGTGTTCCCTTGCGAATATATGTTTTTTGCCTTTTGCTTTGCCACACTCAAGTACAAGTCATGTACCTTTACCAATTGACAATCAGTTTTTATGCAATATATTTGCTGTCTTTACCTGTGATTATTGTTCTTTGTTAACTTATAGTGGTTCAACCATTGCATATTTATTTGCTGTCATCTTTGGAACTTGCCGTTTATGTATATGTATCTTTGAGTTTTGTGACCTATATGTGCAACTCTAGACATGTTTATACATTAAACATTGTTTAATATAATTTCTTGCTATCATTGAACTTTGCAGAATGCCCCTGTTGGCAACAAGAGAGGAAAGAAAAATCTTGTCTTATCTGGTTGGGGTGACGAATCCTTACTTTCTGAGGAAATTATTAATCCTTATTATGTTGAAAGTGATTATCTGGATTACAGTGAGCAAACTCGTCAAAACTTGGTATGTGTAGTCTATTTTTTGTGCATTACATCTTCTGATACATAGTTTTGGAATTAATTTTGAATGACCATCACAGAAAAGACTGAATGAAGATAATATTGATTATGATCTTCTTGAGGACCTGGTACACCATATTGATGAGTCTTATGCTGAAGGAGCCATACTGGTATTCTTACCGGTAGGGATATTCGTGCACTTTCATAGAGTTTGTTGTTTCATCTGCCTTTGTATTATTTTTATTAACCTACCTGGTATATTTTGGTGTTACATTAACAATATAACAGGGAGTAGCAGAAATCAATTTGCTACTAGATAAACTTTCTGCTTCTCATAGATTTGGTGGGCGGTCATCTGACTGGCTTCTATCTTTACATTCATCTATAGCTCCTGAGGATCAGAAGAAGGTGTTTCAGAAACCTCCTGATAACATACGCAAGGTGAGTTTTTTTTCCTCTTTACATCTTGATTCACTCGGCTGGTAGTGTTAGCTCAATTCGAATTTGTAGACCATGTACCTTCACCTTCAGAGTTGATACTTTATCTGTTGTCTTTGATGTCTTTCTGGAATTTCTATATAGTCAGTAGACTTTTTGAGCTCATTTGTACAGTTCCGTTTTGTAAGTTGCATCTCAAATTTGCATGATTTCGACATAGAATGAAGGTCAGTTTCCAGATTAAATGGTATGAACTCTCAGTTATCTAAATACTCTAAAAGCACTCTCATGGTTTTTCACCAAAATCAGGAGGTTCTACTCACATGTAGCCTGTGGTACCATCATATCTACATTGTGAGAATTATTGATTGTAGGTTCTAAGAAGTGTATTTCTGCATTATTCTCTGGTAGTGCAGTTTGCAGATAAATATTAGGCTGTCATGGCTGATGCTTAGATGAAACAAAATAACTTAAAACCATAAATGGTGGTAGAGATTTTAAATATGCAGGTAGCAATCATGAACAACCATTGACCATATTACACTTTACAAACCCCACGCTGTATCTGCCATGCAGTTTATGGTTTATTTAACGTAACTTCATTGTATTATGCAAACAAATATTACGTTTTGACTAATAAGAGTACAGCCTTTTTACTTTGTGTAGGTATCATGATGGATGTATCTTAAGAAGGGACTTCTAGTTTGTGTTAAGGATTCCATAATTAATCTAATAAAATATATTATGATGCAGACTGTCATGCATAAAATAGTAATAAGCTTTTGTTCAAGTATATGAAATAGATATACACTACTGGCACTTCAAAAGCTTTGAATCTAGTTGCGGTGGTCATCATCTATGTGCTTGGCAAGTACATTTAAACTTTTCTAAGTGAATTAATGGCCCTATTTTATTATCAGCAAAAATATATTAACCACAAATTAATTGTGTATTTTAGATTGTGCAAAGGAATCTTCATTTTATCTTGTCAATAGCAAGACAATTTGTTTAACCAGAAACTGCAGAAAATAGAGAAATTTGGTGTTGATGGTTTGATCTTTTTGTTTATGCTTTCTTCCTTCTTATAACAACCTTTACCTCCTTTTCTGGTTACGTGTGACAGGTTATAGTTGCCACAAATATTGCAGAAACGAGTATAACCATCGATGATGTCGTATATGTGGTAGACAGTGGAAAGCATAAGGAGAACCGTTACAATCCACACAAGGTTGTGCTGATTTCTATTGGGCTACACTAGAAATTGAAATATAGTAGTGTATGATGGTGATTTCTAGGGTTCAGTTCATTTGTAGAATATTAAACTTGCTGAATTTGACAGGGAACATTTCACTTAAAATTTCTATACCATGCACCTCAGCTCTTGAAGTTATATGGATTCCTTTGTATGTAGGTATAGAGGAAGAAAAATTCAGTGATAGAACATGCAAAGTCATTCAAATGGATTCACACATTTGTGTCAGTCAATTTTTGCCCACTAGGACAAAAGATATGGTGCACTAAAGACTGCTGCAAAACTACAAACTATTAATCTAGGGTTCTTATTATTTTTCTGAGGATCATGCATTTTAGTTGGGTTATTAATATAAAAGTTCTTCGGCCCAACTGTTGCATGGGAATTTAATTATCGGTCTGACACTGCTGCCCCTCCACTACTTGTTTTTGGCAAGTGTGCATCTTGCAGGGGAAATAGGTGAACAATAGATAATCTAATAATCTCACTGCCTCACTGCACCTTCTGATGCCAATTTTAGTCCTTTTGTGCCTGACAATTGTATGTGTTAGAGAAAGTTGCTGTAGAACTGAGATCCTTGTAATTTGGTTTACGAATATCTAGCATGTAAGCTCTTTGCACTTATACCTTGACATGTAAAATGCTGCTTCTAGAAACTTTCAAGCATGGTTGAAGATTGGATATCTCAAGCAAATGCTAGACAGCGAAGAGGAAGAGCTGGACGCGTGAAGCCAGGAATTTGTTTTTGTTTATATACACGCTGCAGATATGAAAAGCTTATGCGTTCCTACCAGGTAATGAGCATCTAGTGAATTGGTAAAGAAAATTGATAAATTGATTAAGACATGCAGAAAAATGATTAGGTTTTGCTTTACAGTACATTGTCTATAACACTTCACCAATGTGTCTGTGCTCTATCTAGATACCTGAAATGATGCGAATGCCGCTAGTGGAATTGTGTCTACAAGTGAAATTACTTTCTCTTGGCGGGATAAAACAATTTTTGTCCAAGGTAGGTTCTTTTATGGGTTGTTTGTTTGATAGACAAGGTTTTAAGGCATGATTCCACATTCAAAATTCATAATGCGCAGCCTATACCTTGGCTAATCTATTGTTTATACTTTTTCAGGCCCTGGAGCCTCCTAGGGAAGATGCTATTTTGTCAGCAGTTTCTTCTCTATATGAGGTATGGCTTTTGCTTTTCTGCGGAACCGAACTATCACTTGGTATGGTTTGTGCTGCAAGGGCATGAGAGTTTATGTTAACCATGTTTTCATTGAAGCACATCCATAGGTTGGTGCCATTGAAGGAAATGAAGAATTGACACCTCTTGGTTATCATCTTGCTAAACTCCCAGTTGATGTGCTGATTGGAAAGGTATGCTTAATACAATTATCTTTCTAATCACGATGAAATTTCTTTTATACTTCAATTTAACAGCTTATCCTGACATCTATACACTTTTTTTTTTTTTTT